CATGAAAGAATTTCTTTTCTTTTTTAAAGATTTTATTTATTTTTACAGAGGGGAAGGGAGGGAGAAAGGGAGAAACATCCACGTGTGGCTGCCTCTTGTGGTCTCCCTACTGGGGACCTGGCCCAAAACCCAGGCCTGTGCCCTGCCTGGGAATCGAACCAGTGACCCCTTGGTTTGCAGGCTGGTGCTCCATCCACTGAGCCGCACCAGCCAGGACTGTTTCCTTATTGTTGAGTTTTAAGAGTCCTTTGTACATTTTGCGTAACAGTCCTTTGTCAGGTATCAGTGACTTGCGAATGTTTTCTGCTCGTCTGAGGCTGTCTTTTCCTTCTGTTGGCAGTGTCTTTCCCAGAGCATAAGTTGGTAATTTGAACGAAGTCCAACTTGCCAGTTTTTTCTGTCACGCTTTTGGTGCTATAGCCTAGAACTCATTGCCAAACCCAAGGTCACCTGGATTTTCTCGTTATCTTTTAGGAATTTCATAATTTTGCATTTTACAGTTAGGTCTATAGTCCATTTTGAGCTGATTACTGAGCAAGGGCTCGAGGTCTGTGTGTATCTGCTTGTGGAGGTGCTGTGCCTCCACCACCGTCTGTGGACAGGCCATCTCTCCCGAGAGCTGTCCGTGCCCCCGGTCACGCTCTGCCCCCGTCGGTCCTGCCCCGTGGTCGGCCTGACCTTTCCCCAGCACCAGGCGGCCCCGACGGCTGCACGTCCCGCGGCGTCTGCAGGCCAGGTGGTGCCAGTCAGTGCTGTGCTCTCGTCCTCCACGTTGTGTTGGCTGTTCCGGCTCGTTCCCGCCACACACAGTGTGAAACCGCTTGCTGGGGTTCTGGCTGGGATCGCACAGTAGCACCAGCGAACTGGGGAAGAACCAGCACCGACAGTATTGAGCCCTCTGTCCGGGAACACGAGCTACTCCGTTTGTCCTGTTCTCCTTTGATTCCTTTCCTCAGAGGCTCATGGTTTCCTCTCACAGATTTTGTAAGACTTACACCTAAGCATTTCAGTTCTTTTTGGCACCAATGTAAATGGTATTCTGTTTTAAATTTCAAATTCCAACTGTTCATTGCTGGTAGTAGGTTTTTTTTTTTTAAATGTATTATACACAAAGACAGACTTTTTTATGTATAGATCTATGAAATGTACAGAACCGTGTAACTGCATAACACTTAATGGTGAAATACTGAATGCTCTTCCCCTAAGATAGGGTGAAGGTGAGGACGTCCTCTCTCTCCACTGCTCCTCAGTGCTGGAAGTGCTCGCCAATGCAATAAGGCAGGAAAAGGAAATAAAAGTAACACAGGTTGGAAAGGCAGAAATAAAACACCCTGTGTTCACACACCACATGATTATCTACGTAGAAAATGTCAGGCTAACCGAAAACTACAACACAGTCACAGGATAATACACAAAAATAAATCTTATTACTATAATGTAAGCAAAAAAAAAAAAAAAAAAAAGAAAAGAAAGAAAGAAAGAAAGAAAAGAAAAGGAAGAAAAGGAAAACAATAGCCTCCTTAAAAGAAAAAGAGAGAGAGGGGCTGACAGACTCAGGGCTAACCCTAACCAAACACGGGCATGGCCTGTGTGACAGAAACCACAACATGCCCACATAAGAGACTACTGACCTAAACAAACAGACACAACACGCTCCTGGCACGTGAGACCCCAGAGTTCCCGAAATTCCAGCAGGACGCTCTGTAGAGAAGATGGTTCCAAATTTTTGTGGAAGGGCAAAGGACCTCGGGGAGCTAAAAATAGTCCCACAAAGAGAAACAAAGTTAGATGAATCACACAGCCCAGTTTTAACACTTTGCATAAAGCAGCAGCAACCGAGAAGCTGCAGTCAGGGCGGGAGAGGCCAGAAACAGACCGAGGTGGACGCGGCGGCGGTGGTCTGACCCGCAGGCTGACGCCGCCTGGTGGGGGAGGGCCAGCCCCGCCCGTGAGCTCCACGCGAGCACAGAGAAATGTGAAACCTGACACTGTCCGATGTGTGCAAGGGAACAGAAAAGTATCTTTGTCATCGGGCACCTGGCAAAGAGTTCTAGACACGCCACCCAAGCCTAGCGCATATGAGGAGAACAGGATGAACTGGACTCGATCACAACGGGAAACATTCCTTCTGCCAAGACAGTATCAAGAGAATGCAAACACGAGCTGCATGCGAAACCACACACGCAACGTCGGGCGCGTGCGCAAAATACCCGAGGAACTCTCAGAAGCCAACCTCAGGAGAAGGGCCCCGCCCGGCACCAGCGGGCCGCCCGGGGCACTGAGGTGGAGGCCCCACCCCGGGGCAGGGCACTCACACTATCAGCCAACGATGCCTCGGTGAGTGGAACAACAAATAGATGTTTCTCTCCACGCCCCTCCCCTCAAATCAATACGTTTTTAAAAAAGAAGTCAATTTTATGAAAATGTAAACAAACCAAAAAACGCCGGGGCGCCCACACTCGCACCAGACGCAGCAGACTTTGTAACAAGAGCCGAGGAAGGGCCCAGAAACTCCGCATCTGGATATTTGTCTGAAGGAATCTAAAACGCTCATTCAAAAGGACGTCTGCATCCATATGCAGCGCTGCTCGCAACAGCCAACGTGCGTGGAAACCGGAGTCCACCCACAGGCGCGGGGGCCGAGGAGCGCGCGTCCGCGCCGGCGGAGGCTCGGCCACAACGAAGGCCGAAAGCGCCGGTGCGGGGGGGGGGGGGCGACGCACGCACACCACGTGATTTCACGTGCGCGTGGACTCCAACGCGCAAACAAAACAGGAAAAAACGCGCAGGCACGGAACCATTTCCACGGCTGCCGGGCCGTCAGGCAGCTGGCTGAACGGGGTGCGGGGCCGGAGGAGCGGGGCCGGGCAGCCGCAGGGCAGCGGGGACGCGCAGGCAGCCCTGGGGACCGAGCGGCGGCACCGCAGCGCCTGTGTGCGGTGCCGAGTGGGCGCTTTTTATTTCTGGGAAATCATTTCATGAAGTTACAGAAATGGTTAATCACTGGGTTGTACGCTTGAAACTAATATAATATTGTACATGAACTGTAATTGAAAAATAAATAATTATTTTAAAAAATATTTATTTTTAGAGAGAGAAGGGAGGGAGACAAAAAGGGACCGAAACATCGATCTGTCATAGCCTCTTGCAGGCCCCCCACTGCGAACCCGGCCCGCAGCCCAGGCCTGTGCCCTGCCTGGGAATGGAACCGGCGACCCTTTGGTGCGCAGGCCGAGCCACACCAACCAAGGCAAAAAATAAAAAGGTTATTTTAAAAAACTAAGGTTTCAAGTATCGTGCTTTTCCCCCCTTCAAATGCTCCGATGGTTCATTTTGTGTCCACCTCACTGGGCCCCACGGTGCCCAGGTTAGTTATTCTGGGTGTGGGGGGTTGTGTCGGCCGAGGGCAGCGTGTGCATCCGAGTCCTCGCCGCGTGGGCAGCGCTCAGTCCCTCCAGGGCCCGAGCGCTACGGAAATACCGCGTGCCTGACAGCCCACGCCGGCCGCGGCCCCCTAGGACCCGCTGCCCCGCCGGAGCCCTCCCGCCGGGAGTCAGCCCTAGGAGCCCGCATGCAACCCCCGGGGCACGTCCGCGCAGGCAGGCCCCCTGCAGAAGCCCGGGCCAGCGCGCCCGGGGGCGGAGGGCTGCGCCCGCCAGGCGCCCCCACGGGGCGCAGCGGGTCCCCACCAGCCGCGATGGCTCACAGGGCTCCAACCTCGACGAGCTCCCACCGAGCACACCTGCGCCGGCGGGGTCTTCGCCACAGTTCCTGCCACACCTGTCACCAAATTTAACTGACCCTGCGCCAATTTAGACGACGGTCTGCATCCAAGGTGCCGTTCCCAAAAGCCACGCGGAGCGAGGCAGTGACAGCGTCAACCCGCGAGGGTCCCTGGTTCAGGGCCGGGGGGGGGGGGTGCAGTCTGGTTTCTCATCACAATCTCAAGCTCTTACAATATTTTACTTTTTCTTTATTTTTAAAAAAGATTTTATTTATTTTTAGTGAGGAAGGGACGGAGAAAAAGAGGGAGGGAAACATCCCTGTGTGGTTGCCTCTCGTGCGCCCCCTGTTGGGGGCCTGGACCGCGCCCCAGGCCTGCGCGCTGACTGGGGATCGAACCGGCGACCCTTCGGTTCCCGGGCCGGCGCTCAGACCACTGGGCCGCACCAGCCAGGGCGTCTTACACATATTTTAGGTGATAAATATCCAGCTGAGAGAAATTTGGTTAAGTTTTTCTTTTGCTTTTATTACAAGCATATAATATTAATTGGCAAAACACTGAATACAAGCTTCACTGTCATAAAATCAAAACATTTAAGCAATATTCCAAAAAAGATTTTAGACAAAAACTAGCCACCAATAGTACAAAAATTACACACCAACACAAAGCATAAAAAATGTAAACTTTCAAATTAAACAGTCAAAAGTATGTATTTGCATTGTCATCTCCATAACCCACGGCAGCTTCCGCGTGACCAGGCGTGACACTCAGGCCCGGCGGCGGGCTCCCGCCCGATCCCGACACCGCGTGGGAAAACGGGGTCCTCTCACACCCCAAACGGCGCGGAGACACACGCCTGTGCTCACGCTACCCATTCCAGGGCACCTCGGCCGCAGTCACCCCCAGCCCCCCGCCCCGGCGGGCACGGTGCGGCCTGAGCGGCCTCTCCGCCCCGCCTCTGCGCCGCCCCCGCCTCCGCCGGACCAGGGCGGAGCCGCAGGCTCACCGGCCAAGGCCGCAGGGGGCGCGGGCGCCCGCGGGTTCCTGAGCGGGGAGAAGCCGACTGCGCTGCCTGTGCTACCGTCATCGTCGATGCTTGGAGCGCACGTCAAACGGTGACGTGCGACGCAGAAGTCAGCGCGCTCGTTCCTAGGACACTCAGTCCAGTGACGCTTTTCCAGTCGGCGGGGACGCCCGCGCGCTGAGGCCACGGGAGGGCCCCGGAGGCGCCCGCCAGGCCGGAGCGCGCCGCTGCCACACCCGGGGGCGGGGGCGGCGCCCGGGGCCTGCGCGCCGGGGTCCAGGCCGGGAGACCCCGGGGCCGCGCGCCCCGACTCCGCCGCCTGCCGCGGCAGGTGGTGTAACTGTTGCCGACAGGCACAATCCCGAGAACAGCATTCTTATCATAACAATGGAAAAGAAAAAACCGAAGAGCGCAATGTACTGATTTTGAAATTCCACCCACATTACCTTTCAACGTAGCGGAAAGATGCTACTTACAACTTACACAGACGCCTGATGGTGCATGTCGGAGCCTATTGCACAAAAGCATAAAAAGCATCAACAATGCTCTTCTTCTGAATAAACGAAAACAAACAGGTTAAAACTACTCAAAGAAAAGAGAAGAAGCTTGCAGAACGCCTCGATTTCATTTATATGCCTGTAAATCAAGCTGGACCACGGGCACCAAACACTGGATGGGAAAATATGATAGAAGGCTTAAAATAGAATAAATAATTTTATAAAGTTAAGTTTTCTTTTTTAACCCCCCAAATCTTAAATTCCATATTATATATTCTATCTGAATTCTCTGTTCTCATGAAAACCGTCCGGTGAGTCCCAGGCTGCGGCGGGCGCGGGCCCCAGCAGCTCCGACGCGCGAGCGCGACTTCACGGCGACGCCCCCGCAGCTCCTCCCGGCGTCGCCGGTCCGGCCCAGCGCCGGCGGCCGAGGGAAGGCGCCCCCACGCGGCCGCCCCGGCGGCTGCCGCGGGCCACGTCCTGTGGGCGAACAGTCTGCACGAGGACATCTTAGAAAAATAGGTACTTCTGCTGCTGAGGTTTCATCCGGTTGACGCGGTTACAAAAGCGGGGTCACACCAGAGCGGTGGGCGGCCGGCTGTGACGCCCATGCGCCCACCTTCCTCCATCTCTCTGTGTATTTAAATGTATCAACTTAGCACCATAGCAAATTCAAGTGATTTCAAAGAGAGCTACAAAGTTACAAATATACATCGGGAGATTGTTACAGACACATTTGGTTGAGTCTGAGCTGGAACCGGTTTCGTCTGCATTCGGATGCTCACCTGTTCACCCCCTGCGCCACGCGGGAAATCCCTGCATCTAAGGTCACGCTGCGGCCGCCCCGTGCCCCTCCGTGGCCAGACAGCCGCGTCAGCAGCGATGTGCGTTTTGAGGTAGACAGGTCATATTTACTCACACACATCGACTCGCTAACCCCTCGGAGGGTCACTGAGAACAATCTGGATGAACGAACAGCAGGCTCGGGTCACGGGACCGTCCACACGGAGCTGGGAGGTCAGGGACTGAAACAAAAAGTGAATTCCGACCGATTCCTAACAAGGGCCTGACGCTCCAACCGCTTGGGCTGAATGAACCTGAACGCGTTCTCCACGGTTAGGGCTCTTTGGTAACTGCTTCCGACGTCTATGCGCGTAGAGCGGGAAGCAGGTCAGAGCGCCCAAGCGGAGCTTCCGGAGCCGATTCAGGAACCAGCGACTGAACTGAAACGCAGCCGGGAGCCTGGCCTGAGGCCGGGGCCGGAGGCGGCCGTGACGGCCAAGCCCAGGACGACGCTGTCGCCACTGAGATCGGCCTTTCTCCTCAATCCCGCGTCACACATTCCAAGGTACCACTTTAAAGGGACACGTTTACGTGCTGGCAAAGTTTATTCTCTAATTCCACAGAAATATTGACGTTCAGAGGTGAAAGGGTTAGAAAGTGTGTGTTGCCTGTGGCTCTGGTTGTCAGCGGCTGCGGCCGCCACCTCGGCTCCGGTCCTGGGGCCTCAGCAAGAGCCTCCCCCACCGACCGCGGCGCCGAGGGCGCCGGGCCGTGTCACCCTCCGAAGGGTGGGTGATGTGGTGGGGACCCGGATCTGCCGGGAAATCCCCGAAAGGCCACCGGCTTCCTCTACAGCAAAGTGAAAAGGGGGACAGTGGGCGGAGCATTCAGCGGCAGCACCGAATGGCTGGAGCCCGTCTGATGATAAAAGCGATTTTTAACAGGATCGCCCTGCAAACCCGCGCCAGGTCCCAGGTGCTAGCACTGCCGGCGGCGGGGGGCGGGGGCGTCACAGCGGGGGCGGGACACGCCACGGTGGACGTGGAACGGGACTGGCAGCCGCTTTTGGTACGCTTTTAAATTAATTTTTTATAGATCTTCTAAGCCTTCGGGAAGCTAAAGGCAACATAAATATCGTCATTCACCATGAAAAGATACTTTTTCAATAACTTAGGAAGGATTCAACACACATACAAGTATTTTGAGGCGCATCCTGAAACCTAATTCATCAACTAAACCGAAACGCTGTGGTTCTGAGACCTGGAAGGCAGGCAGGGGCCGCGTGTCAAGGGCAACCGGCGCGAGCTCTGGTCCGCGGAGCCGAGGGGTGCGGCTGGGCGGGTCAGTGGCGGGGGCCTGTGGCGGTGCCACCACCTTGTCTCCGTGCTGCTGGTAGTGTCTTGTTGAGTGCGAATTCTCTCGTACAAAAGTGATAAATACTCTCTGTGCAGAAGTCCGGTCCCCAGGACCCCCGCGGCCCCTCCCCGGGCGTGGGGCCCTGTGCCCGCCGCGGCGTCACAGCAGGTCCATTTTGGGTCTGTAGTGCAGCAGGAGCGGTGCCTTCTGTAAGACAGGCTGGCGTGAGGGCGGCCGACGAGCGCCGAGCGACGCCGCGGGAGACGAGGCCAGGCTGGGTCCCCGGGGCCCGGTATGCGCCCCCTCCCCGGAGGACAGGGGGCCACCACCCGCTTCCGCGTCCACCCAGAGCCCCGTGCATAGCGGCTACTCCCCGCAGCTCGCAGCCCGGGGTCACCCCACTGCCGGGGGCGGCGGCTCTGGAGCCGATTTCAAAATAACCGCGTTTCCCAAAGACCCCGCGACTGCATCTCGCTTCCGGGCGCTTCCAGCAGAGAAAAGCCCGCGCCGCCCCGCAGCAGGTTCCGGAAACTGCACACACCGCGCCGCGCACGGACTTCTCACCTTGAACCTCCACCTCGTGACGACCACAAACTTGAGCGTGTGGTCTTTGCCCAGGATCTCCTCGTTGCATAAAATGTCCAGCTGGGGGGAGAAGCAGCGCTGGTCAGTGGGCCCGGGGCTCGCGGCCGGCGCCCCCTTCCCGGGGGTGTGGCAGGAAGGGCGCAGGGGGCTCTCCCTTCCCCGCGGGGCAAGGCCTGGTCACGCCCACCCGCCAGGACAGCCCTGCCCTCGGCCCGCCCCCCACGGAGCTCGCCCCCCTCCCCTAAGAGGTAGAAGGACATGGGCTCCCCAGTCTGTTTCTTTTTTTAAAAAGGTTATTTTTAGGCAGTTTTAAGTTCACAGCAAAAGTGAGAAGACAGATTTCCCACGTGCCCCTTGCTGTCCCCCAGCCTCACAGGACGCACGTCGAGCCACGGAGCCCGCACGCGAGGCCCCTGCTGCCCCCCCACCCCGCACCTGCACCCACCACGCCCAGAGCCCCTGCGCCCCACTCGCTCGCCTCCCGCTGGACGCCAGGCGGCCACACGTCTCCCCACCGACCCCACAGCTGCGCCTCCTCCGGCGCCCAGAGCCGGGGCCCGTAGCGCGGAGCGGTCACGCCGGCCGCTGCCACTCAGCCGTGCGCGCGCGCGGCTCCTGCACGTCCTCTCCCGGCTTGGCGGCTCGTGCCCTTCAGTGCTAAGCCGCATCCCACGTCTGCACTGCCCGTCACCCACGGAAGGACGCTCACGCTGCTCCCACGTGTCGGCGACTGCGAGTGAAGCTGCGGGGAAGGGTCCAGTGCAGGCCTGACCAAGGACGGGCGTCTTCAGCTCCTTTGCGCAGTAACCGAGGAGCCCGGCGGCGGGGGGCTGGCCGGGGCATGGCGGGTTTCGGGGGGACTGTCCGGGCAGGCTCCCAAAGCCATGGCGCCCGTCGCCCCCACCAGCCGTGAGGGGGCGACCCCGCTAGCGGCCCCACGTCCCGCCGCGCTCGGCTTCCGGCTGCTGAGTGAGATGATCTGCTGTGAGAGGGTGACCCCCAGGCGGCATCTGAAACGTCCCCCGAGGCGAGGCCTGAAGAGGGGCCCTGGGTCTGGGCGCGCAGGGTGACCAGGCACCAGCCGCCCCGCCGGAGCTGCGGCCGCTGCGTGTTTCGTCCCAGGCGCAGGGGGGAGAATTGTCATCTTTTGGCTGGTGGACTCTCTTGCCCTCAACTTGCAAAAAATGCTCCTGTCGCACACTCCTTCCGCCTAGTCCGTGTATCAACTTTGTATTGTTGGGTTTTTTTTAAGGCTGTGGCAACCACAGATAAAATCCACATTGTAACCACCGCTAAGCTCCCCGGGGCCTCCAGCGTTTGCCTGCAGCGCCCTCGCCTGGCAGAACTCGTCAGAGCTTAGGACAGACCTACCCGCGGAGGAACGGAGTCTGGGGAGGTCCCGCCGCCTGTCACCCAGGGCGCCGCAGGACACGCCCATCACAACCCTTCCCTTTTCCCCAGATAGGTCCTTCTCTTGAGGGCACACCTGGTCGATTTTTGAGAAAGATTTTGTTTTTAGAGAGTGGGAAGGGAGGAAGAGAGGGACTGGCCACCTCTCACTCATTCCCTTCCAGGGACCTGGCCCGCGGCCCAGGCGTGTGCCCTGCCCGGGGATCGAACCCGGGACCCTTCAGTTCATAGGAGACACTCCAGCCAGGGCGATTTTATTTTTGAGAGAGAGGGTAAGGGAAGGGGAGAAAGATAAGAGAAACATCGATGAGTGGCCCCCGACTGAGCCCTGACGGTGGGGGCAGGGCAGGGGAACCCAACCTGAAACCCAGCCATGTGCCCTGACAGGGAATCGAACCGAGAACCTTTCAGCTCACAGGCTGGCAACTCTCTGAGCCACACCAGCCAGAACCAGTCGACTTTTGTTCGTCAACGTTTTGGGGGCTTCTCAGGCATCCAAAGACACCGATGGCTCTGGGCTGGGGACAAACAGGGTCGGTGCCCAGAGGGCTGCTCGAGCTCTGTCTGCCCCCATCTGGGAACCACGCCTCTCCCTCTCGGGTTCTGAAGCTCCTGGGCTTTGCTTGGGAACCACCTAGAGGGTGTTGTGGTTGCCGCTGTCAGACGGCTGTTTGGGAGGCCGCCCTCCCAGGCTGCTGGCGGTGGGGGGGGGGGGGGGGGGGGGTGTGTGCTGGGCTAGCTTCCCGCAGGGGCTGTTGGCCAGGACCGCTTCTGCGGCAAAGGTGCTGGCGCTGCCGCTTTTGCCTGGAGCCAGATGTCCCGGGAGATGCTGCCCCAGCCGTCACCGGATGCCCAGCACCGGGGACACCAACGGGCCGGCTCGGCGCCGCTTCCTGAGCTCGACAGGTGCATCGGGAAAGTGGGGTCCCAGCTGTCTGAGTGCCCTCAGGTGCCCCCACACTTCGCTTGGGAATCTCTGCAGCTAAAGATCCAGGTTCCGCTGCTATCCACCCAAAGACAGCACCCAGCCAGGTCGCGGCCACATGTCCCAGGGCCACTTCTCTTCCCGTGGGCAGTGCCACGCTCCGCTCCCCCTTCCGAGCTCTCCCTGCAGGCGCCTTCGCGTTCCCGCTTCTACCGGCGCCTGCTGGATGCTACGCGTGCCCTCCAAGGAGCTCTCTGCACCGCGCTCACTTCCTTCTGGGCTGTCGCCCGGGTTGCCTCCGAAGACCACGTTCCGGCCCCTGGTCTCAGGGCGAGCTACGCTCCCCACACCGTTTCGCGGAATTCTCCAGCTTCTGCCTATTCTCCAATTCCAAAGCCGTGCCCACGTTTTCCCATGTCTGTTTAGGAGCACTGCACTTTCTGGTACCAAAACCTATTTTGGTTTCCTGTGGCAACTGACAAAGCGCCACAAACTTAGTGGCTTGCAACAACCGAAATATACTCCCTCTCAGACGTGGAGGCCGAACCCAGCGTCCGGGCGCTGGCAGGCAGAGCGGGCAGGGGCCTTCCTGCCTCCCCTGGCTCCTGGGGCTCCAGCCCCGTCTCCATCCCGCCTCCTTCCGTGGGCCGCACGTTCCCGCTGGCCCCACTCTTGGGAGGGTGCCCGTAATTGGCTTTAGGGCCCCCAGGTGATCCAGGGTGCTTCCGTCCCAAGATCCTTAACTTAATTACATCCAAAAGGATCCTTTCCCCCAAAAAGTTCAGGTCTACAGGTCTGCGGTCAGCAGGTAGACACAGTGGGGTCACTGTTAACCCACTGCTCTCTCTGACACGCATGTCAAGTCCGTCTGCTTGGCACCACCCACACGGCACTGTGCCGGGCCCTCCCTTCTGACACTGCTGCCACGGACGCCCCCGCTGACCTGCCTGGCTCCGACGTCTGTGCCCCAACCACCCACTCTTCTCACGGCCTGAGGAGTGTTTTCAGGCGGTAGCTCACACCCGCGTCCCTCCTCACACCTGTTCACGCACCTGGCTCCTCCAAACAAGCCACGTCTTGGCCCATGTGCGGCCGCCGCGGGGACCGCCCCGCGACTCCGCCCCGAACGTGCCCGACCTCGGCCTGCCGACCCCTCTGAGCACCACCGGGTGACCAGGTTCCAACGCCTCCTCCTCCTGCACCGCGACCTCCAAGTGCCTGCTGGGCCTCCCGGCCTCTCCTGTCACCCCAGCGCCACCCACCCAGCGGTTTGTGAAACGGAGTCCTTTCCCTCCGCGATGAAACTCGACCACATCCCAACGAGCTCCCGGCCCTGGCCCCGCCCCCTCTCCTGTCAGCGCGGCCTCGGCCTCGGCCTCCGGGGGCCGGCCCTCCGCACCGCCCGCTCCTGGTACCACCTGGGGGCGGGCAGAACAAACTGAGATTCTCCCCCTGAATTTAAACTCTCCAAAGAAAGTTGTAAAGAACACCCAGAAGCCTCAGAAGCCCCACTTTGACCAGGAAGGAGCGCCCAGCGATGGCGTTGCGCCGGCGCCATTGTTACCTCGTTGAAGGACGAGAGGTTGAGCTTCTTGGCGATGAATTTCTTCAGGTGCAGCACGGTGGCCTGGGCGGAGCAGCGGATCCACTTGCGCTTCAGGCCGCGCAGCTTGCTGCTGTTGCACTCCAGACAGATGCTGACCTGCGGGGCAAGGACACAGCTGGGCCGGCTCCCGGCGGGGGCGGGCGGGGGCGCGGGCGACTGTACCGAGGCCGCTAACCCTGAGGGTGCCGGTGGTGCTGAAACCAGAGCTCCCACCACCCCCACACTGTAGAAACGGGGTTCTTAAAACTCATTTTACACACGGTACCTTAAAACGGGTTTATTGCTCGCTGAAATATGACCTACCACGGTCATTTTTGTCTTTTTAACAGTACTTTACAGTAAGTCCGAAAACCACGTCCCCCGTGGGCACTGTGCTGGCTTCCCAGTCAGCCCGCTGGAGGCGGCAGCCGGTTCTGAGAGCTCCCGCCGGTGGGACACGCGTGGCTGCCCGTGGGCTGTGCTGGGCGCCCTGCGGCCTGGCAGGACACGCGTGCACACACGGGCAGGCCCGCCAGTCTGCACGCATGCAGCACGGAGGGACGTCTTGGGGCCGTGCCACACTAGCCTCGAAAGAGGCGCGGACAGCTCGGGGCAGCCTCAGGTCCCCAGGCACCTGCCGGACCCGCCCCGCGGGGGCCGGGGTGCAGGATGGGTGGCAGGGGGCCACGAGGCTGCGGGCTCAGTGACAGCGACTCTGGGGTCCTGGGGGGCCTTCGAGGGGGGACAACGGGCCACGCAGGGCGGTGGAGACACGGGGCTCCTCACAGGCACTGACCTCTCCATCAGCTGCCAGAAAAATGGCCCCGGCCATACCCCCAAATTCCAAGGAAAGAATTAACAAATGAATTAACCGAAATACAGATGTATGTAAATTACCAGGGGTACAGAGGACCAGGTAGAAAACATAACACACAATGAATAAAGAACAGGAGATATAAGAGATCACCCAATACAACTTCCAAAAATAAAACATTCACTTAAACTAAAAGCTCAGTGGAAGCAGGAGATAATCTCAGCTAAAGAGAGAGCAACCTTCCGAAAGCACCGCAAGGAGATCACACAGAGACAGCGAGGCCTGTGAAGGCAGGGACTGGAGGGGACAGAAGACGGGGGGGGGGGGGGGGCGCGCAGAGGGCGAGTGCCAGAGGAAACATGCCTAAGGGCCTTCCCCAGACGGCGAGACACAAACCTTCCAACTCAGGAGCTAAGAGCCCGACGCAAAAGGACAACCAGGGAGACCTGCAACCCCAGGGGACCTCGGGCACGTCCCTGAAAGGGGCTCTGGTCTTTCCCTTGTCCGCGGGCGCACGGCCCCCCCTCACCCCCCCCCCGCTGGCCCGAGTGCCCCGCCCATCGCTGGGGGCTCCTGGGGGGGCCCCCCCGCGCTGCAGGCCCTGAGGCTACGCTTTGCAGGGCTCCGGCGGCCGCCTGGTGAACTCCGTTCACCTCTTCACTGGGTCACCTTCTCACTGAGCCATGAGACCCTACATTCCGGGTGCGACTCCTTCCCCAGGGGCATGATGTGCAGCTGTTCGCTCCCAGCCTGAGCCCCTCTGTTCACTTTCTCAAAGGCATCTTTACAGAGCGGTTGGGTTTAACTGATGAGGTCTGCGTGCCATTGTTCTTTCCCGGGTTGTGCTTGTGACACTGAATCTGAGAACCCCAGGCCTGGCCCGGGGCCGTGGAGGTTTCCCCTCACACTTCCTCGTACAGGTTTTAAAGTTTTAACCTCTCACATTTTGAGTTAACTTTTGTATATGGTGTGAGATAAGGATATAAGTCATCTTTGCATGTGGATGTTCCCACACCTTCCGTTAAAAACCCTATCCTGCCCTGACCAGTGTGGCTCAGTGGGTTGGGCGTCATCCTGCAAATCGAAAGGTTACTGGTTCGATTCCTGGTCGGGGCACACGCCCGGGTTGCGGCCTCTTCCCCGTGAGGGTGTATGCAAGTGGCAACCGGTCGATGTTGCTCTCCCTTCCCTTCTCCTCCCTTCCGTTCTCTATAATAAATGAAGTCTTCAGAAACGAAACAAAACCCTATTTTCTCCCAGTAACGAGCTTTCGCCCCTTGCTGAAAACCGAATGACCACAGATCTAGTGGCTGAGTCTCGGCTCTAGACTCTGTCCCGTCGACTCGACGGCCTCCGACATGAGGACTTGGTAACTGCAGCTTCTTAGTCAGGTTTGATCGTTAGCATTTTCAACACATACTTTTAAAAGTAACCCATGGTTCAAAAAAGAAATCATAATGAAATTTTTAAATATTTAGAACCAGGCAGTATAGTAAGAAACTCTATGAATAATCAACTCACAAAGTCAGAAAAGGAACAAGGATCAATAAAACCGACAATCTCAGTTTATATAAATTTTCCCAAAGAATTAAAAAACGGGAAAAGAGGGACGACCACCAGCTAAGAGACACATGACCTTGACCCTAAGCCACAAACACACACACAAGCAAAGCAAAGCGGGGGCCACTCTCCGCCTGAACCAACAGACACAAACTTACCTAAACACTAGCAAATCCAGAAACGCAGTTTAAAATCATGACCATCAGTTCATCCCAGGAATGACTATAAGGATGGTTTAAACAGTAGAATAAAAGGCAGCAGTTTATTGCAGACCATACAAGGGAAGCTGAACAGCAGCTGGTAAAACTCAACACCCAGCGCAGGAAAGCTCTCAGGGCTCGGGGGACGCGGGCACCTGGGCCGCTCAGCTGGTCAGCAGCTTCCCTTCCCCGTCCGCGTGCCAGAGCCAGTCGCCCCCAGCCCCCGAGCCGGGGCCCACGGGGCAGGGAGCCAGACGGGGCCCGTGTCCTGCCTCTGCCCTGTCACTTGGCCTGGCGCCGGCCGGAACCAGGGCACGGAGGCAGCGGCGTCTGCGGGGCCGACGCAGCTCCAAGGGCCGAGCGCGAGGCGGGGACGGCGGGGCAGCACCCGGGGCGGCCGGTGGCCCTGCAGCCCCGAGGGATCCTCGTCACTGGCCTGAACCGCACCGCACCCGCCTGCGCCCCCCCCGACGTGTGGAAGTGTGTTTGCTGGGAAGGGGCGCCGCCGCGGCTCTGTGGCTGCACGGGAACCACGCTCATCCAATGGTGTCTCAAATAAATACGCTTATGTGTGCATTTCATCATTACATGTAAAGGTGCGTATGAGTGTGTTTAAAAACACGTGTCACACGTGTGCTCTAACCGGACCCACCCCCTGGTTCCGCGGCTGTTCCTGAGCTTGTCCCCTCCCAGGGGAGCGTCAGAAGCAGCTGGTTAAATTCCATAATAAATGGTCACAACGCAACCCCCGAGATCAGCTCTCCCCTCCAGGGGCCCCCGGTACCCAGACCGGCCTCGCGTTCCCCACAAGGCGGAAGGGTCTTCGTTTAGGCCTCGTGCATTTCTTGTCAGGCTACTTTAATAAAGGCTTGTTGGCCACGGGCATAAGGTTTACCTGCTGATTATCGTGTATCGGTCTCATCGCCCTGTGAGCAACCTCGAACCCCAACAGCTGCATGTCTTTGGCTACACATCAGACGACGGTCTGATCTGAGACGTGGCGTGTCTGTCTCACACGCATCTCGGTTTTTTTTTTACACTTTATTATTTTTCCATCACCGTTCATCTCCCCCACACCCCCCACCCCCGCCCGCAGCCCCCGCGCCGCCTCCGCGCCCAGCCTCTCGCTCCTCTGTCCCTCGGTGGCCGGTGGCCGGAGCGGCACAACCCCGCCGGCAGCCGCCGCCGCCGCCCCCGGTCTCTGGTGCCCTTGGGGACGGCTCTGCTCCATCAAAGGATGATGGCTGTTACAGCTTCCACGTCACACGGACACGGGATTTTATCAAATTCTTCTACAGAATCTCTGGGACTGCTCAGTTTTCCCTTTTTAATCTAGTAACGTAGTAAACGACACGAACAGATGCGTCGATGTTACATTTGAAGCTCTCTTTCATTACACACTGGGTTTCATTTTCTTTTATGAATTGTTTGCACTGAAAACACCTGTGTCAAGGTAGCCACGGGTGTTTTCCACAACCCGGGGACAGGGCCGAGGAGACCCACGGTGTCGGGGCGTGGCCTTTACTTTCTTTATACGTAAGATGTTTGACAGCAAGCACATACTGCTTTGGTAATTAAAAAAAAGGAAAAATGGACTAAGGAGTTGGCAGGAAAACACCAAGCCAACGTGCCAGCACTTTAGGCCTCTACCTTCATTCCTTCACGCCTTTTCCTTTCTTACACGAGAAAGCAGCCCGGGCAGGCGCCTGCATCGCCCTGCTCCCTGAGGGCGCGCCCGGCCGCGCACGGGCCCCTGGGCGGAGGGCCACCGACCTGCTCGTCGCTCCGGTGGTAATCGTTGTCCTCCTCCTGCTTCTCCTCGGCCGCCTCCTTGTTCGGACTCTCGTCCGCTTTGGTTTCACCTTGTAGCAAAGAGAGAATACACTGTGCTGTTACATCCAGAATGCTGCACTGCTATTTCTAGCCCCACAGATACTGGGGATGCTGTGAAACGCAGTGTGATAGGAGTTTGCACCATCAAGCACATGTCGGAGGGGGCGGACAAAGAGCCTGTTAGACGCGGGGCCCCCAGCCAGGGCCCAGAGGCGGGATTTGCGGGTGGCTGCGCGGTGTGGGGCGCAGGCGGCGATGGCGGAAGGCGAAAGGGGCCACAGCGGGGCTCAGCCGCCCCAGCGTTTCTCAACACGCAGAACTTTGACCTCCGGCGTCCAGGCTGCTCGGCACCTAGAACTGGCTCTGCTCAAGGCCACTTTTAAAATGAAGACCCCCCTGCGGGCGACATGGCTGGGACAGGCTCCCCAGCCCCTTCCCAGCCGCCTCCCAGGGCCCCGGTGACGCTGCAGCTTGGGGGCAGGTGGCAGCAGGGCCCCCTTTCTCCTTGGCGGCGAGGAGCGCACGGGACCGCCTCCAAGTTCTTAGGAATCGTGTGGTCCACCAGAAGGAGTGCGACACCGAAGGTCTCAGTGACTTGTTAGGTGTGTACAGATTGGAAATACCATTAATTTCACATCAAGGCCAAAACGTTACTTTGCCATTCTACAGCAAAACACAGAAAACTGAGTGACGTCTCCAGAGCCCAGCATCTGTGCCCCCCGTGGCCCCTCTGTCCGCAACCCAGTGAGGACACCCGCGTCCCACAGACATTTGCAAAGGCTACTACTCTGCGACCCGTGGCGCCGCGGGGAGCGGCGGGGCCGGGGAACGCTCTGGGAAAACCCCCGGCCGTGCCTCACCGTTCCGATGGGGGTCAGGGTGCTGTTTGGCAGAGCCGGTCTCCCCCTTGATGTCTCCAGGCACCTCCATGCCCAGCTTGTGGTAGAATTCCCTCTGTTTTCTCATCTCCGCTATTAAAAAGTAACATACAACCTTCAATCTCGAGTAGGCAATGAATGACGTTAATGTTCTGTTCACAGATACCCCGTGAAGAACACAGATGATTAAAAGTTTGGAAGCCGTTGCAGAAAAGTAGTAAATGCGACCGATTCTGCCTTAGCGTGTTTGGAACAGTGTACGGGGGCTTTTTGAAGGGTTAGTGTTTCATCCTGGTTCCTCTGCCTTTTCCCAGGACTAGACACTTACCAAAAGGGGCTTGTTCATAGCTACGTTTCCTCAGGAAATGCCAAGTGCTGTGCGCGTGAGTTGTGCCGCCTGCGAGAGGCTTCAGCGGCACTATCCCGAGCTATGCATTGGAGGCCAGCTGAATCTCTGCGGATCTAACGCAGCAGCTGAGTTTTAAGTTACAACGTCCCTGAAATCTAACAATGAGAACACAGGATTCCTAACACACCGCATCTTGGAGAGAGCACTCGAGTGTCCCCTGCAGCGCCCCCCACCCCGCCCCCAGGGAACAGCCTCTGGCCGCTGCCCCGCACCAACAGTCACAGCCTCAGCTCCGGAGCTGCGCGCAGCTCTGAAAAGAGCGGCCGTTCTCACCTCCAGGATGTGCGCAGCGCACACTATTTCTTCTTAATTCTCGGTGAGATTTGACTTTACCTGAGTCACACGCGCTGGCCCCCCTGCACCCGCTGCGCCCACGTGACCCAGACAAGTGCAGCCCGCCCGGCGCCCACAACGGGGCTTCCCGCGGAAGATGCAGACGAGGGCGCGAGCCCGGCCGCAGACGCCCGCGAGCTCCGAGCAGGGACGAGATGGCACTTGTGCCAAACCGAGGAGCCCGCCGCCCGCCCCGCGCCGCGCCACTCACCCTCCTGCAGGCCTGGAACCAGCTTGTAAACAATGTCCTGCATGGTCCTGTCATGACTGCAAAGGGCAAAGGACGGCGCGGTCAGCCAGGAAGGCCCTCCCGCGGCTCGGCCGCGTTCCCAGGTAGCGCTGCGTCACGTGGCCGCGCCAGTGCGCAGACCGGTCTGGTCCCAACGTGCGCGCTGGAGGCAGCGGCGCCCCCCCCCACCGCCGCCCCCTCCCCCCGCGGGAGGGCGCTCCGCCCGCTGGCGGCTCTGCTGAAGCGCCGCTCAAGGCGCCACGCAGCCTGGGCGCCGCCTGCGCGGCCCTGACCCGCCCGAGACCCGCCCAGGGGCCCAGCCGAGGCCGGGGGCGCGAGACAGCCGAGGGGGCGGGGGCCGCCCGCTCACCCGATGTACTGCAGCGGGTGGCTCTGGTGGATGACGATCCGGCAGGTGGGGCAGGTGTTGTTCTCCTCCAGGTACTTGACCAGGCAGCTCCGGCAGACTGCGGGCAGACCACGCACACGCGTCAGAGCGCGCCCCGGCCCCCGAGGGGGCCCACGGTCAGCGGCCTGGCCCGCTGCTTCCCGCTCGGGCTCCGGGCTCGGGAGGCAGGAGCGGGAGGCGGGGACGAGTGAGGAGCGAGGCAGGCCCAGCGCCAGGGAAGCCGTGGGGCGCGTGCCCACCTCGGGGCACAAGGTCTAGGCATTCGTTCCAGGAGCCTGCAGATCACGAGGTTTTCTTTGTACACCAACATTTCGGAGACAACAATATAAACAACGGCCTTCACTATCTAAAAATACAATTAACTTTAAAATAAAAATTCTATTAAAATTGGAAAGTACTTTCTTTCTGAAGTCAAAAACCACAGGATCAAAAAGTTGCAGGTATTTCAGCCCTGGCTGGTGCAGCTCAGTGGACTGAGCGCCAGCCTGCGAACCAAAGGGTTGCGGGTTCGAGTCCCAGTTGGGGCACAGGCCTTCGTTGCCGGCCGGGTCCCCAGCAGGGTGTGTGCGAGAGGCAACCACACACCTTTCTCTCCCCTTCCCCTGTCTAAAAATAAATATGTTTTAAATGTATTTGAAAAAATAAATTAAAAAAAATTAAAAAACGAAAGAAACAAAGGCTAATACTATGATGTAGGCACCCACATCATAGCTTTCGTAAATAAATAAATATGTATTTAAAAAGTTACAGGTCTTCCAGGTGTGCATTTGAGTGTAAACATCCTCTCTAAAGAAAATGCTTCTCTCAGCATCCTTGGCAACTGCATTTTGAGGTAAACCCTGACGTCCACTTCTCAATTGATGCTGTGCTTAAAATTAAACAAAAAGCAAGTTCAGAGCAAGCTGAGTCGTGGGCAAACTGCGAGGCAGGAACCGACCACCGGGCGTGGAGAGTTTAGGGGCTCAGCCTTCCTGCTCACTGGGACAAACGGGGTCGCACCAGCTACTGGTTTATCTGTTATAAGCAAATAACTAAGTTTTCCAGTATTTAGCTTTCCTAAATGATACCACTATTGAAATTACCCACAGTATTTTTAATTTGAAGTAATTTTTCTGATTTATCTTCAAGAACATTTTTATTCCTGCTTCTATGTCCTGCCTTGTGCTTGAGCTAAAAGCTGTTGGTTAAAAAAAGTAATAATAAAAGACAAAGGAAAGCCAAAATATCAAAGAAAAAGCGGCTGGAAACTGTCAAAGGCCACGTTCTGGAACATTCTCGCACCAACAGACGCAGACGCTAGGTCAGACAGCGCACCCACGCGGCTGCCAAAGGCCACACTCCACGGCCCGCGGCTGCAGTGCGCTCACGCCGTGGACCACTGGCCGGCCCCAAAAAAGAAAAGGACCCCCTTTGTGACCACACAGTTGGGCCTGGAGAGCACCCTGCTCGGCGGACGGAGCCGGTGGGTCAGAGAAAGGCAGGACCGGAGGGTCTCCCTCACCTGTGGGGTCTCACGGACAAACGGCACTAGTGAGCGACGCAAAGACAGGCTTCTGGCGGGGGGGCTGGGGGAGGGCGGGACTGAGCAGCGGGGGATGGGGGAGGCCTCGGGGACGCAGGCGGCGTGGGGTGTGCCAGGAGGAGGGGCGCACGGAGGGGAGGCGGGGGCGCGGGGGTGAGGGGCGACGGACACGGGGCAAGGCCGCGCGGGCGCACCGCCACGTACAGGTGTGCAGGCACTCGGTCACTGTGGTCGCGTCGATGAGGTACCCGCTGCACAGGCGGCAGGTGATGTGGGCGTTAATGTCCCAGAGTTTAATCTTTCTGGTCAACATCTTTGGCTTCTGCAAGAGAAAGATGCATTTTAATTACCCCTTCAGATGCCCGGGTGCATTTATTGCATCGAAGGTTCAGGTTCAAGGTGAAGGCAGCCGCTGGACGCCCCTCCAGGGGACCAGCCCGTGCGGAGGCTGGAGCCTGAGACTCAGCCGGGCCAGGCCCAGGCCGGCGGCCCGTCCGGAAGCCTGGTGACAATCCAGCCCGTCCCACGGGGGCCATGATAGCCCCGCTCAGCCCCCGGGGCAGCAGGGGGGCTGGGGCCCGGGCCGGGGCCGCGGGGTGCGGCCGAGCTGGGCCGGAGGAGGAAGCCGTAGGGGCCGCGGGAGCTGCCCTGCAGCCGAGAGGAGTGACGCAGGGCAGCTGAGGCGCCCCCCCGCCCCCCCGCTCAGGGCCCAGACCCCGGGGCCTGAGGGATACCGGCGACGGCGGCAGAGCCCCCCGATCTGGAGCAGCAGAGTGGCCAACGTGAGGTCACAGCAGGAGCGGCTCTGACACTGGGAAAGACCGGGAAGTGGTCGGAGGGCCGCCGGCCCCGACGCGCCGTCTGCACATCTATCGTAATAACTGGACAAGTTCAAACATGCTCATCTCCTCCGTTCAAAATGGCAAAGCCCTGGCCCACACGCCAAGGGCGGCTGAAACGCTACTTCCTTCAACCAGCAGCGGCTCCAGGCCCTCCCCCAGCTGCCAGGACCCACGCAGCCCCAGGACCCCGGTCCCTGTCACTTATCCTATGGGACACCGGTGTGGCACACAGCACGGAGCTGGGAGCCCCGACGTCCGCGCGCCCTCCTGCCTGTCCCTGAGCTGTCGCCGCCATGACGGTGTCTCTGCTGCGTCGTCACGCGGCAGGTGGACAGTGCGAGGTGTCCACGTCCTACCCAACACCTGCACCTCACTCGCGTGGCAAGAGGCCCGCGACACAGGCGAGGCCGGCTCGTGTGGGTCATGGCATCACGGGGTCCTTGTCGGGGAGGCAGGAGGGTCACCGAGAGACAGGGACGGCGGTGCTGTGGCGTGACGGGGCCACCAGCCAGGGACGGGCTCTCCCTGGAGCCTCCGTGGGCACCGGCGCAGCCTGGACCGCAGTCGGGAGGCCCTTTGGGAGGCTGAGCTCCAGAGAGCGCAAGGTCTGGGGCGTCTGCCGCAGCGGCGGGAGGAGCCGGTGTCAACACCTCACACCGAGCAGGGCGCCGAGGGACGGCCGGTGACGGGCGCTCTGAACACGAGTACCGCTGGCAGAGCCCTGCACAGACCAGAGACAGGCGCCACGGGCCGTCATCGCACAGGGGAAGGGAAAGCAAGCGGCCCGGGGGTGCGGGCGCCTCTGTCCGGAAGCGGTACGGGGGAGCTCTGGCCACGGGGGGCAGGGCCCGCGGGGGTGCTGCCTGGAGACAGCTGTCACCGTCACCTACACTCGCACCGGGAGCCTCGATGAGCCACGAGTTAGGCCGTCGGCGGGGCCGCCGGCCTCAGCTCACTCGCAGAACCAGGGGCCTGTGCGCCAGCCGGGAGGCGCCGAGCTTCCCACAGAACGCGGAACACGCAGAGACCCCGTGGCCGGCACCCACGTCACCTGTGCTTTCCCTGGAGCAGGGCCCTTGCCATGCCAACGCCCCAGGACACGGGCCAGCAGCCACGGCGACGCTGGGCCCCCAGGTTTGCACACCATCTTCCCGAGTGCTTGCGAGAGCCCCGGCCAGGTAGCTCTGACCTTCCGGGAAGGGGCTCGGCGAAGAAGGGCCGAGCACCACCGTGGAGCCAGAGAAAAAGGAGAGACTACCTCAGAGAAGAAAACCCTACGAACATCCCCCGGCAAAGCACGGCAGGAACAGGAAAGCCGCCGACCCCTGAGGCGCTGCCCATGCCCAGCGGGTGGGCCTCCCGCCGGCTCACCCCGTGGCCCTGTCTTCACCTCCCGTCGAGAAGTGTTTTCACGCCTGCCACCGGGGACGGGAGGACGTGCTCAGCAAAGAGCAAACGTCCTGACTGCACAGCAGTGCACTCGGCAGCAGGAGTCTCCCCGGCACCAACGAACCAAACCGACCCAGGAAACAGAGGCCGGAAACAGACTCCACAATCACGCCGGCCTCAGCTGGGAGTGGGGTCACGTCTCCTTCACGGGCCAGAGACCACGGCTTCTTTGCAGACAGCAGCACCCGTGTCTCTTCTGGAGACCACGCTCAGTGTGACTCAGGGCGTGGGTGGGCGATACACGGAATCCGACGTGTGCGTGTGTGCCCTGGCCCCGTTCCCCGCGGCCTCAGGGGGCCGCTCCTCTGCAGCCCGGCCCCGTGTGCACAGACCGCTGTCTGCTGTGGGGCACGGGGGTGCTGGCCACGCAGCTGACAGTGGGGAGCAGGGAGGCGGTAGAACGGAACCTACAGAGCCCACTGCCCTCAGCAACGCAAGGGGACCTGAGCGTGGAGTCTGCAGTGATTGTCACCCGGGATCACGGTGGCGTCAGGACGAACTGGATTACAATCCAGAGAACAACATGGCAGCCAGGGGACCACTGTCTGAGAGGGGCACCAACAGGGGACACGCGTCCTCCCGGGAGAAGGCGACCCGCCTCGCGGGGGCGGAGGCAGAGGTCCCTGCCACGGCAGAGCGGGCGCAGCGGGGGGCCCGGGGACACCAGGCAGGGACCCGGAAGACGGCACAGCCGCGCCTCGCCGTCAGGGGGCGCAGAGAGGCCCTGAGCGAGGGAGGTCACTGTCCTCGGCGCCAGGGTCACAACAGCCAAGGGCGACAGAGGCAGGGACGGGCCCACAGGCAGCGCCGGCGGCCGGGAAAGGGGCCTGTGCCCACCGACCCCCCGGGAGACGAGACCGCCGTCCCTGACCAGAACTGGGACCCGCAGCGGCCGGGACGGGGCGGGAGCGGCGCAGGGCAGCCTCACCTCCTCCTCTAGACGCCGTCGGCCCCCCCCTCCGCCTCCGCATCGGCGCTCAGGCTTCGGCTGTGGTGCTGTCGCTCGCTGGCAGCCGCGCGGCTCCGCACGCCAAGTCCTCGCCTCTGCGCCTGCCTTCCGTCCTCTGCTCTTTTTCCATTTTCTAGCACAGAAACACCTGTCACTTCACTCCGGTCACTCGTGCGGGAGGCCCCCAGTCCTGCAACTTGGTTCTGACTGGAGCTTTCAGACGCCGCCCATAATGCCCCAGCAGGCGGCCAGTCAGAGCTCGGACCGACGGGAGCCACCCAGCCCGCCCGCCCTGGGCCCCCGCAGAGCCCCTCCCGCGGCCCTGGGGCTGCCACGGGCGCAGAGGGCGCCTCGCAGCGGGGTCAGTCCATTCGCATGCACTGGAGGAAGAGAAAGTCCCAGCGGAGGCCGCATGTACCTGGACGTGGAGCCGGGATCCTCGGCTACATTCTGAGGCCTGTGGAGACACAAGGCAAGGGGCAGCGTCAGGCAGGGTGCTGTCCGGGCCGCGTCCCCACCACACCAGCGGCCTTGGCCTTGCCCACTGGACACGTCTGTTCCTCTATTTGCTTAAAACCAAAAGAAAAACAGGATTAGTGACAGTGAAGAGCCAGAACTGACCAGAGAGACACGGGCAGGTCTCTGTGGCCACTGGTGACACTGAGGCCGGGGCTGCGGGGCGGGGGGCGGGGGGCAGGTGGGCGCCGTCCTGCGCTTGGGGCCCTGGGAGGCGGGACGAAGGTCTGTGAAAGCTCGGGGTGGGGGATGGCTTTCAGGGGTGAGCGGGTGGGAGGCTGGGGCCCCGGGGAGGGACAGGGCCACAGCAGGGACGGGGATGGGCAGCAGGCACACCGCTGGGCACGCGGTCTGCGTCAGAGCCAGGGAGGGCAGGCCCGCCCTGGGGACACTGGGCCGGACAAGCCCTCGCCGGTGTTTGCGGGGGTCCAATCTGTATCATTTCTACTCCACGCTTTTCTGTAACTGCATTTTTTATTAACTAGTCTTTGAGACTCAATGAGCTTTTACAAAAAGAGGCAGAAGGGCGGGAGGTGGCTGCGAGGTGAGGGGCCGCCGTGCAGCCTCCCCGGCGGGCTGAGACTGCGGCTGTCAGGCCAGCTCCGCCGCGGGCGTCACTGCCGGGGAGCAAGGGGCCGGCGCCCGGGGCCCGCAGCCCGGCGGGAGGGGTGTCCGCGGCGGGCAGGGAAGGGTCGGGGTGGCAGGCGCCACGGGGAGAGCGACGTGTGAGCAGGAGCGGAACGTCACGAACGGCTTCACGTTAATAAAGTTGCGATTCATGGGAAACCGATACATTCCTAAAAAATACCATTAGAATCAAGGCTGCAAATGTAGACAACCCAGAAAGTTCCAGAACTAGTGAGGGAGCCGACTCCTCGGCAGAGAACTCGGGCCGAGTCTCAGGGCGGCTCTGCCGGACGCCCCGGGACTGGCCCGCCCGCCCACGGGGCAGAGACCAGCCGCACACCAGCCCCGGCACAGCGGGGCCGAGCGGGGCCGAGCCGGGGCCTGGGAACAGCCGCGCTCGTCAAACCAGCTTGACCCCTAGAGTTCACGGGGGCTAAAACAAGACATACATGTAATTTGTGACCAAAAAAGGCAGGAAAATGGTAAGATCTTCCCCCAAGTGCATAAAAATCATTTGATAAAATTATCGTTCCTGATTTTTAAAAAACTTAGCAAATAAGCACAGCGTGAAGCGCTCTGACCTGACAGAGCTCGGCATCTGAGAGAAGCGGCCCTCACAGGCGCCAGGCAGACCCAGGGCGCCCTGCGGCGGGGACAGGCGCAGCCGGCCCTTGCTCAGCGCCGCAGGGGACGGGGCGCTGGGGGCTCTGAGGGGACCGCGGGCTCTGGGTCAGGCCTGGGGCGTGGTCACAGGACCAGACATTTGCCAAAAGACACCAACCGCACCATGAAACTGAACTTCAGGGTGAAAACCATTCCAGGTGGTGAAGCTGGGGAACAGAGCCCACCCCTACCTCACACCATCTTCACGCCCCAGGGCCCCCACCCCACCGGCAAGGCCCCAGCGCGGACACACACGCCTCCGTGAGAAAGGCCAACTCAGGGTGGACCCGGGGCCCGCAGGGTCCGGCCGAGAGCCAGCGGGCCACCCGAGCGGGAACCGTGCCGGGCCCGGGACTCCCTGTTACCCCCAGGTGCCCCTTTGACGCTGAAGGGCGACGCCTGCCCCCTGTGCTGGGGCCCAGAAGGCGCCGGCCTCTCCAGCTCTGCAGGGATCCGGGAGCCGCACCTCACGGACCAGGTGCCCAGGGGCTCCTCGGAAGGGGGGCAGGCACGTTGGGGGTGAAGACAGGCCAGGGCTAGCAGCTGGAGGGGGTCCCGAGACCGCGGGCCCTGCTGTACACAAGCCTCCACCCTCACCACCGTGGCAAAAGAGCCCCAAATCAGCTGACCTAGAACAGGGCCGGAAAGGGGCACGCGGCTCGGCCTTGCGACACGGAGGCGGTGCGAGGGCTGAGCCCTGCGGCCTGGCTGAGAGCAGCAGCCGTGCCCACAGCCCTGCGCCAGGGCACACCGCGCACGCTGGGCCGACCCTGGGACTGGGGCCGCCGAGGGGTGTCCTCTGAGGCCGCCAGGTGGGGGCGGCGTGTTGTGCAGCTGCAGAAAACAAACACAGTAGCATCTAGGAAAACAGCAGCTCGGAGCAGGACAGCCAGTCGCCCCAGCACCGAAAATACAGGGTGGCCAGCGGCTCCAGAAAACTCTCACGGGCCCCAAACCGTCCCATCCCAGAGACAAGAGATGGGTCACTAAGCGAGTGGCAGGGGTTGGAGCCCTTTGGCAGGGACTGAACTGTGCCCCCAATACAGGGCCTTGGGGGGCGATTAGGCTTAGTTTCACGGGGGGAATGATGGGCTTAGTGCCCTGTGAGCAGCAGGTGAGAGGCAGGCCCTCGCCGGGAACCGGACCAACCAGCCGCTCGACCCTGGGCGTCCGTGACGCTGGTCACGGCAGGCGAGTGGACCCGGACGCCCCTCTGCTGGTCTCTGATGTCCACCTCCCTCACCAGGCCGGGGGAATGGACCTGCCTCTAGGTGGGCCCATTTCTGTGGAAGGGAAGGCAGTTACTTTATTTGATGGCAAAAGCCATATTTCCAAGAACAACTCCAAACACTTTGTACCCACTAAGCCATTTGCGAAGTCCGCTACAGGCATCAGCGTCGCCGGGGGGGCCTCGCCAGGTGCGGAGGAGAAACAGGGAGTGGCCGGCGGACACCACGGGCTCGCCCTCTTGCGACACAGTGCGACCTGCCAGGACCGAGGCTCCCAGGCTTCCGGGCAGACTCAGCCAGCTCACAGGGCCCCCAGCCGGAGGCCCGGCGGGCGTGGCGGCAGCACCCACCCAAGCGACACCCAACTGCAATGGTGTGTCCCCAGACAGTGCAGCGCCAGGCGTCAGCCTCCCCTGCGCTCGGCTCAGCCCACAGAGCACCCAGGGACTACGCCGCCGGGAAGCGTCGGAGCAGCCCAGACCCCCGTCTGCACGGCAGCGCCGCGGGGCAGAGGGAGCCTGACTCGGAAGGAGGGGTGGGGCAGGAGCCAGTGCCGCCCGGGGCCTGCCTGCGTCAAGGGAGGCAACGTCGCCACGGGAAACCCTGGAGCGCAGGGGAGGCCTGGGGGTGGACAGGCCCGCGGCCGCCACCAGCAAGGCGCCCACTTCCCAGGTGTGAGGGCGGCCGGCGGCCGTCCCTGGACCCGGTGCCGCGTGACCTGGGAAGGTGCAGCTCAGCTGCAGCCGCCTGCGCGACTCAGCAACAGCGAATGTGTGTTGGGAAAGACGCGAAGCAGACAGGGCACAACACGGCTGCTGGGTCTGGGGGCAGGCGGGGGGCGCTCGCTGTGTGACTGTCAGTCTTCCTCCGGGGTCTCCTCCCCCGAAAAGTACGGGTAGACAAGTAAAACGACATCGCTTGAAATACAAGAAAGGGAAAGGCTGCCTGCCCTGGTCCCCAGTCCCATCTGCGACCAGGCCGGCGGCCTCGCCCAGCGGCCCCGCAGGCTGAGCCCAGCCGCAGCGGGGCAGGCCCGGCAGGCAGCGTCCAGTCCCTCTGGGTTAAGCGCCCAAGCGCAGGGTGTCACAGGGGCCACCAGGGGTCTCCTGACAGCTTCCTGCGGTTTGCACACTTCGTGCTAAGCATCTGGAGTCCGCTGTTCACGTGCAAAGTCCTACAAATACTGACGTATTTGCAAGAAAAATCCACTTAACCTCCACTCTCTAAGTTCACTTATGTGTTAGACGTTCTCTTCAGAACCCCAGTTGACCTAACTGTTCGCTTTTAAGATCTCCATTTTCTAGCGAGTTTTAGTTCTTGTCCATGACAGGTTTGCCTGACTCAATGACAACCCTGAAAATGCACCCGAGGCCACGTGCGCCCCGTCACCCTCTCGCCACCTGCTTAGTGACCATCGGGGCTCTTTGTCACCGGGCCCCCCGCACGACTCAGTTCTGGAGGGACGAACACGGCCCACCAGGACAGGCAGCCTTGGCGTCTGCCAGGCCTTACCTTTCAAAAGTTCACGATATGCTCTCGCCCCGCAGAGCTGAGGGGCTGCAGCTCCACGCGGTCTGAGGCAGAAGGATCGTGCGGCGTTTTTGCGACAGGAATGGCAAACATCAGAACGGGAAAAGGAACTGCTCCCAAACCTCAACCTACTCAACAGCAAAGGAAAACTGCATTTTCAACCTCAGATTCAATGCTGACTGTGAGGGCAAACAAAGCTCCAAAAGAAATAACAAATCCTGCCATTTAATAAAGAGAAAAAGTATAGACCAAAACAAACCTTGCCTAACCATCTAAATCAAACCACCCAAACACGTCCTCTCACCCGCGGGTCCGGAGAGCGAGGGCAGCAGGGGGGTCTCCGCGCGTGGCGCCCACACGCGCCCCCCGGACTGGGAGCATCGCTTCCTTACAAGGGTCGAACTCCCAAACCACCTGAGGGTCTCGCAGCTTAGAAACCTTCTCGCCAAGCTCAGCTCACAATTTCTGGAGCAAGATCACCGGCAGGAACATTGCGACGCTCTGAAAACACTCAGACGATCGCACCTGAGGCCATGAAGGAACCTGACGCCCCGACACACACCCCTC